TATATATGTATATATATATATATATATACTAATTATATATTATTAATTTATGTATACATATCTATATATAATATTAATCTGTGTTTGCAGATTTAATTGATTTTAATCTAATTTGTTTGAGTTTTTCTTCTAAAAAAATTATTTAATTACCATTTTTGTTATCTAAATGTCGACTGCAATAGAAATTAAGAAAAATATAATATTTTTATAATTTATATTGCAGGTGCTTGCATCATTGAAACATAAAATAGACCAATTTCTTTCAAAGCATAATAACGTGGATTTATTAGTTGAACAAGCAAAAATATTTCTGATTAATCGAGAAAACAAATTAGTAAATGCGAGAAAAAATGTAATAGAAGCTGCTGCGCAATCCTCATCTATTAAAAGACATTCTTTAACTGGTGAATCATTCTCAAGAGGTACTATTTACTTCGTGAATATATTTTAAAAATTTGTTATATCTTTCTATCATTTATAAAGAATATGAATATTGGATTCAGTACTGCAACCGCTCACTAAGCGCAGTTTAACAATTTAATGTGATTAATTAGATTTAGAGGTAAAACTCATATTCGATTACTACTTAGCCGTTCAGTGAGCGATTGTAGTATAGAATGCACCCATTGACTCTCTTTTCTTTTTTTACTCTATTTTTACTATTATGCTGTCATTTATATTCTTTTCTCGTTTTCACGTCTTTTTCCTTCCTATAACTTTACAACTACATTAATCATATCTTCTAAAATTTTGTGCACGCTGGAAGTATTCAAAAGGTGTATGTATTGATATAAAATATTTTTGCTTGTACATTATACATGTATGTAAAGTCCAAATTATTATATCATTTATATTTATAGGGGAACCAAAAAGGAAAAGTTTGACATCATCCTTCACACAAATGTTCAGACGATCAAGTGGTAATTTAGGTTCAGGTCTAACCAATCAGCCGTCCAGTATATCAGAAGATCAGCTACAAATAATTGGATCTGGGTATAGGTGAATTGTTTCAAGACTTCTGATTATTTTCTGCATATTATAATAAATCATAATATATAAAAAAAATCTAGGTCAGGGATTCCTAAAGTATCGAGCCAATTTTTAATTACGATGTTCAGAATGTTAAATTATACTTCGTATAGTTATACCAATATCTATTTGCGTGTCTGTCTTTTCACAACTTTGTACATATGTGAAATTGGATTTTTAATAATGGTAGAAATCAAACCAAATTTGAGATAAATAACAATTCCTTGTCTGAAAATAATTTGTGTCAACGTCGACATTAAAACTTTTTATTAACGGAAATTGGAAATAAATGCATTTTTCACATATTCACGTATTTAAAAAATTAATCTAGGTCTTTTACTAGGACCTAATTACGTTATTAGAAATGATTTCAATCTCACAAAAAATAAATAAGCAAATAAGTGAATGGAATGAAAAATATAGTTATGTATTGTTTTCTTCAATAGGTATACAAAAACTTCGTGGGAATCACCGAATGAAGTCAGCCCAGTGCAAAATGTTGTACTATGTTGTGTTATATTAGATGAATGGCTTAAAGAGCTCGCAGCAATAACTCAGGAGCACGCCATTATGTCCACTATAGATGGTAATATATTTAAACCTTAACTTTAACATGTGATTTTGTATACGAATATGAAACAAGAGAACATTTGGAAATATTCCTCTCTGTTTATACTGAGTGTCCGACGAGACTTCCAATTTTGCATTGGAAGGTAGATAGAATCGAAAGAAGTCCCATACCATTTAACGAGTCTCGCATTATTATTAATACAGATATTAATTTTTTTAATTGTACTACTGAGAGCGCGTTTTGAAAAACGCTCTGGCTGCTCAAGATATAGCCCGGCCCACTTTTTCAAACATGGGCTACGCTGACAGCGTGTTAAAGAGACGAGGAGATCCTTTCGAAAAGGAGGAGAAGCACGCTGTTGTTCGACGCTCGGAATTGCTACTCATGAGCGGAGCAACCGGAGCGTTTCTCAAAACGTGTTCTTATTAATACAATTTCAAAAATTAATATCTGTATTAATATTACGAGAATATCGCTAAATTAAAAATAAAGGTATGGGACTTTTGTATTTATTTCGATCCTATCTATTATACCTTTCAGTGCGAGATTGGAGAAGTCTTTCGGGATAGCCTGTATATATGTAATTCAAGTATAAAAAAATAAAAAACATGTAGTTTTGACAAATTCAATTCTGCATGTAATGTTGAAAGAAGGTATGTTTTATTCTGAGCAAAAACCATGAAGTATAAAAGAATTAAACGAAAATGTTATACTTCGCGAAAAGAATAGAATCGATTAATTTCGCAAAATGACAATCATTCGCTCGCTCGTTATTCATTGCAGACGGGTCAAGAGTTGAAGACCAATTTCGCGGTATCTGTATCCACTGAAATATAATACTAGAACGAGGCTTTTTGCTCCGGAGTTAATTAGATTCGCCATCTGGATACGATGGCCCGTATTTAGAATGTGTTTACAATGATGTTAGCACTCTAACATGCTGTAGTTTACGTTAAGCGTATTGTAGAATTTCAGTAATAAAAGCGCGCTTTTATCAATAAAAATGCGTTCTGAATACGGATCTATATTTTTAAAAATATGAACTGAAAGATATGGAAGACATTGAAAAAAATAATAAATTAATAATATAAATGCTATATTTTTGTTTATTATAGTAAAAGCGTTTAAAAACTTGTATAAATGAATTATTTTTTATATTTGAACTTTTAAATTTTTTAAAAATTATATGGACTTTTTTTAACATTTAAATTTTAAAAACAATCATGTAAAACAGTCATTGTAAATTTTTATTGCAAATAGTATATATATTGTGTTCACTAAGAAATCTTTAATTTTAATGAAAGTATTTTTTATAATTCTCTGATTTAAAAAAAAAAAAATTTTATATTACATAAAAGCAACTTAAAAATTGTATATATTTTTAACATTTAAAAGTTATAAGATTTAAATGTTAAAAAAAGTCCCCACTACAAACCCTGAATTCCTGAGGATAATAGCGATGCCAGGAAATATTTTATTGTCTATTATATTTATTTTCTCGAGAGAATGGCTGAATAGTTGGTCCTGCGGCTTTATTGTAGCATGTTTCAATCAATACTATACGTCCAAAAAAGTTGATTAAAATCGGTGACTACAGACTAGCGGCCTCTCCTTGTTAGTAAATATGCTTGTTTTTAAATGATTCTTACTATTTACCCGGCGTTAAAAGTTTAAAAGTAACTTTTCATTATTAACAATAATAATAATACATATAGATATAAATAATTATACAAGTCATTCGTTTTTTGTAAATGTGTGTATGTAACGATAGCATTCGTTCGACGAGTCTATCTTATTGTGTTCGTCATGCGTCGGGAACGAGACGATCATTTGCCGCGTGATAACTTCTTCACGCTTGGAAGCTAAGTTGAGAAATAATCTTTAAGAGCGAAAGTCTTTATCCGTTAAATTGTATGCACTACTTGTTACCGTGTTCGGTATTGTACCATCCGTATATTATTTACGTCATGTATCGCGTAATTCTCAAATACATATTGTTATTTGTTACATGTAATTTTGTATGATTGATATCTCTTTCGTCCTATGACTCTTTCCGCTCGCGCGAATCACCTATCTATATTAAGGTAAATGTAAACCGATTATTGGACAACTAAGGAATTGCACGGCGAAATCATTGATTTAAACTTACTAAACATTAAAATTTTAGTTTATTACACATGCTTAGTAAGAATGGATGTTTTCTGAAACTAAATCCATTATCGAATATGTTATTTGCGTTGATTATAATTATATTTAGTCACAAATATAATATGATTTATTGTCCTAATTACTGGACAAAGAAATGTGACGTGCTCTGTGTCCACAAAAGTATAACCCAATTATTGGAAGTAGTATAACTAGGCGAGTTCTAATCTAGGTCCTCTGAGAGGGGGTGAGGAAAGAAAAAAAAACTTTAACATTTTGGTTCGCGGGCCGCGGGGCAGAGCGACGCTTATTTCTGCCAGATTCTTTCGTTTTATGGAAAAACGCGTCAAATATGAGTATAATTTAATCGATTTTTGAGATGGTTATTCTCTCTCTATTGCACCTTTACCGAAATATCAAAAAGTCACTGTTTCAATTTTGATATTTATTTTAGAGCATTAGAGATCGAATTTCTGTATTTTTGTGTGAGAAAACGCGACGAAGTTATGCTGTACTCACGAGTACGAAAACAATATATACCCCTAAAATTTATACTTTTATAAATATCCTTTTGCCTCATTTCTAAACCAAGATCTTTCCTTAATATACATGTGTATAAAATCATATGTTATCGCAAAAGAAAATTGCTACCATGTGTTGAGGTTATCATGAAGATAAATCATAATTTTAATAGTGAAATCTTTATATCATTTAAGCTATAACTTTGGTATATGAGCAATATTATTTTCATAATGAAAATTATATTGAGTATTTATTAAAGTTTTAGAATAGTAGTGCAAAATTACCTCTGATAATTATGAATTATTTTCTTATATTAATTTTCTTGAAGATCCTCTCTCTAATGGATGGAAGAATCTTCCTGATTTTAATATATGTACAATTTACATATTTATGTAATATTTTTCTGTTATTTAATTTTTATGTTTACAAGATGTTACATCATATTCAATAATAAATCAGTTATATTTGAAATTTAATTGGGTGATATATTTTTCTGTAAACTATTGTATCACGTTAAAATTGAAATTGATAGAATAGCATTACCTTATATCCTATAAAGGTTAATTATAAAGTGAGGAAAATCAATATAAACATAAAGGTATACAATATAATTATTGCATCATAACATAAGCTATCGTAAATTATAGATTTATTACAACAAATAATATATAGAAATATTTAAAATTATCTTATAAATGAAAATACACACATTTATATGCATTTTAGATATTGATTACTCTCCATGTCCCGCAGCTCTACGCAATAAAATATATATCTTTTCTTTGATCCAATCCTTATTATAAGGAGCATAAGTATTTGTCGATTTTTGATACACAAGACAGGATAAATCCGTTAACTGATCAACGAAATCAAATAACTGGCTAATGTCATAAGTAATAGTTGGAGTGTTTGGATTACGTCTCTTTAGATGTTCTTCATAAATTTTACAAACTCCTACAATGACAAATAAATAATTAATACTCATAATTAGTATTGGGATATTATAAAAATACAAATGCACACATCAATATATAAAATATATCAATGATTAACAAATTATAGGATGAGTCATAACATTACTATAAATTATATAATTAAAATTACCTTCCATACATTCATTAATGCTTTCATAGTCAGAATATGTTCTCGTTTCAGGTCTAACACCAGGTTGTACTAATAGTATTGTATGAGACTAGAACAGAATAAAATTAAATGATAATGTAAACTTAATACACTATTAATTACACTGTCCAACAAGGATTTTAGACCATAAATTAGATAAAGTAATTGTTACAAATTTTGTGTTGCTGTGAAATGAAATTGTTCTATTACGTCGTATTTTTTTTAGAAAATTGGAGCTAAAAGTGCTGAAAATGGCATTTTTTGTATCCTTGAACTAAAGTTTCTTAGAAATGTGATGTGATGAAGTAATTTCATATATAGATTTGTTTTCAATGATAAAAAATCTATAAAAGTTGCCAAATTATATTGGCTTTTTACAAGAACAGTTATAATGAAAAAAAGAGAAATTGAATATGTAGATAAATATAATCCTTTGAGAATTGCTTTTGCAATCTGAATAATCACCTGTAATTTTGTATTTTTTATTTTATAATAAATAGAATAGCAGAAAAATAATACAATATATTACTTGTATGCATCTTTTTCATAGAATTCAATAGAGCTTATTGATTACATTTTCTAATCTCTACCATTGACAATTTCACTGAATTTTTCCGAAATGTCGTATACATTCAGTATAGTAAACCACTTTAAGTTATCACTTAAAACAAGATCAATGCCACTACCAAGTGATTTTGGAATTCCCTTATTTAACACTATATTAACTTTCATTATATTTTTAAAAGTAAATTCTAATGGGAAATCATTTTGTAATATCAATGATAAAAATCAGATTCTTCTGGCAAAATTTTAGATTCATTAACAAATTTATTTTCAACAACAGAATATCTATAAATATCATTTTATTTCCATTTATGGTCTAAAAAAGGAGTTTATCTGATAGTATTAACATATAATAAAGATGCCTAAATATTAATTTTTCATTGTCATATATTTACATTTAAAAAATGATAAAGCAGAAAAAAATATAAATTTAGTAATGTTATAAAGATATTATAATTGGAAAATATTTATTATAATCAATTATAGTCAATACAATATAATCATAAATTAAATTGACTATAATTATATATATATATATAATATAGAATACATAAATGGCTATTTAGAATTACATATAGAAAAAGTCAATCTAAAATAAAATATAATTTATTATATAAGAAATATATATAATGAAATCATATAATGAAATTTATATTTACTATATTTATGTATTCTGTTTGTTTTTTAATAGTGAATCATATCATATTAATCCACTTGTGCATATAGAAATTTCACAATTTGAAATTATGATACATTTTGAATTCTATTAAGATTTCATGACACAACACATACAGATGTAACATTTATAACACAATTGTATAACAAAATACATATGTAGTTTAATGAAGTAAAAATTCAGGACAAATGTACAAGAAAAAGAATTTATCAAACAATGAAACACGATTGTGCTTACCATTTTTGTTTACACACTCTTAGTAGTTAAGTAGAGAGATCATAAAATGATTATATATATATTTAATAATTCTCAACAATTTCAGATAATATGGAATAATATTTCCTTAGAATAGAACGGCTTGGAAGCCTAAAAAAAAGAAATCTATTGAAATCGAACACGAGCCAATTACGTTTACAATGTTTATATGAAAAATTGACGACAAATAACACTTCATAGACTCTGATAACATACGAGAAGTACCATTAGATGCTAAAAAGGTAGAAAGTAAAGTTACTAGATTTATTAAGTAACATAATCGACGCCATATTAAGTCCAATATAGCGGCAATTTCAAATTGTAGGATATAGTTACCGACTAAAAAAGTTGCGATACTTTTTTCTTAATGAGTTTCGGAACGCGGCAAAATTGTCAAAATGCGAGTCACTGCTTGCGGAGCGGTTAAGCTAAAGCGGGGAGCACAGACTTTTGCATAACGCATAAACCATATACATAAAGAATTTGATTGGTCCATTGACTCATGCATAAGAAAATGGACCAATGAAATTCCTTATGCACATGCTTTATGCGTTATGCCAAAGTCTGTGCTCCCCGCTTTAGAGTCTGTTCTTAATCTCAACTCAAGCAAATGTCTTAAGATGTTAATACGGTTTTCTGATTGGTTCGTGACGTCTTAAGCACTAGAGTCCTAGGACTCTATTAAGCACTAGCTTAAGGAGACATTTCTAGTTTTGAGCAACATCTATGGATTCCGCCCTAATGGCTCCAGCACACTGGACGCGGAAACGCTTGCCGTGCGGCAAAATGTGACGCGGTAGCCAAGCTTACAACTCCTAACATGTTCATTGGTCATCGCGTCGCATTTTGCCGCGCGGCAAGCGTTTTCGCGTCTAGTGGGCCGGAGCCATTAGGAGCTCCACCAGTATGCTGGAGCCATAATGCCAATTCTATAATGACCGTAAACCGTAAAAATTGACCAATCGTAATTGAATATGAGGAGAATAATCGATTACGATTGGTCAATTTTTGTGGCTTACGGTCATTGTAGAATTGACTTAAGGCTGCGGCACACACCTTCCGTAATGCTACGCAGAATAAAAGGAACAGAGAATATGAATTTCAACCTATCAGAAATCATATACTGTGGAATAAACAGTGTGTATTCCACATGATTTCTGATAGGTTGAAATTCTTATTCTCTATTCCTTTTATTCTGCGCAGCCCTAACAGTAACCATAAGACATACCGTAAGAATTAGCCAATCACAATCGAGAATTCTTTTGTGCTCTTAATTCTGATTGGCTGATTCTTAAGCCTATGGCACATTAAATGCATAATAGAGCATGAACATAACATAAAACTGTTGGATCAATAAGCATCCAGCATAAAGTTGCCATATTATGGGTACGATCAAAGTCTCGCTACAAATGCTTTGAAACGTTTGATTGACCAATCAGAAGAAAGAACTTTACAAATTGACCAATCAAGAAACGCTTCAAAGCATTTGTAGCATCGCATTGACCGTACCCTAATTAACATAAGATGCTCATTGATCCAGCGGTCTTATGTTATGTTTATGCACTGTTATGCATTCATGTGTTTTGGGCTTAAGAAATTGACCAATCACGGTCGATTATTCTTCTCACATTCTACTATGATTAGTCAATTTCTTACTTCTACAGTCTCATCCACTATTGCTACTGCCATTGTAGTGAAAACGGGCATTAGTTCGTTAGTCGGCTTGAGTCGGCTGTTGGCGGTTGGTCGTACTGTAGTGCAGTACAAATTTATTTCAAAAGTATAATGTTAGAACGTATTTTTTCTCTTTATTATTGCAGTAGTAAAATACAATTTAGAAACATAAATTTGATCTCTCAATTATCTAAGTATTACCCATTATTAAGTGCTACTTTGAATTAAATATTTTTGTATTTTGAATATATTAATTAAGGAAGGAAAAAGAATTCTGAATTTACTATGGATAAAAGAAAGTTGATGTTAAGAAACAGTTTACATAAAGATATACACTCAATTAATCAATCGTTGGAGAGAACTGGCTCTAGTGATAAACAAGTTCATGTGACCGATGAAATCCTTGAAAAGAGTGAATCTTTTTATGAAGATAGATCGTCAGATATCAGGTTAAAACCCTTAAATGTTCACTGTAGAGAAAAGAATTTGTCTGTTAAAGGTAAAAAAAGAAGTTTTTGTGAAACTGAGAATATATCAGAAACAAATAAATGTGCAGTTACGTCTGATAAAGTATCAAAGATTTCCAGACAACTTGATAGTCAAGCATTAGCAAATACCTCTTTCAGTCAAGAGAATACTAATTTGTCAAGAAGCCATGTATCGTCAACAAATAAGATTTTGAACACTAGAAATTCATCTGTAGAAAAATCAGTTACACCGAAATGTAAAGGTGTGAATCAGTCATTAGAAGGTTCAGATGATAATGTTGACTCTTTATATAACAAACATAATATTATGAAGAAGAAACAGATTAAAACCATACTTGATAGAAATACAAAGTTTATTACTCAAGATATTAATATCAGTAGTAGTTCTAGAAAAATGTGTCAAGAATCATCCACTAAAATTACAGAACTTCATATTTCTCAGAAAGAGCAACAAGATAGAGAACTTCAACCAGTTTCAAAATCAAATAACCAACATCTTTCAGAAAAGCAAAGTTCTCATGGACCATCTATTTTTTTCAATTTTTTACAAAAATGTGGTATTATATTGTCAACTGACATACATACACTTGGTTAGTTTCCTCAGCACATACATCTCTTATTCTTTAATTGAAAATAAGGAGAACATAATGATAAGATTATATTTTATATGTTAAAATCCTTTTATACAGTTGTTGCTCCATCCATTGCTAAATGGAAGATGAAGAAAGTATTGAAGTCAAAGCAATACCAAAAAAAGGATATAATTGATTCGATAGAGGAATATATTAGACAGGAAGATAATTTTATAAAAATGTTAAATGATATGGAAATATCGACTGATGTTAACAGTTTCAGTGTTCTAAACAAAATAACTCTTGCAAGAATTCTGTTAGAAGTTCCAGAAATTCAAACAGATATATATAATATCTTCATATCTAAACTTAATGAATCTGTTCTTTTAGTGTAAGTATTGAAATCTACATAATTTTTCTAAATTTGAATTTTAATATTTTTGACAAATTTTTATAATAATCTAATTACAAATAAGTAGGAAACAATTTTCTTTTATCTGTCTATCGGAATTTGAATTTATTGAAATAATTTTGATTCTTGATGAATATATTTATACTCACCTTGTATGTGCCTTTATTTGTAAAAGTTAGTATCAAATTAATACATACTAATGAGATCTAGTAGGTAATAAAAACTCATGTGAACTTATGTTTGACAATGCTTATTAAAAGTTATAAACGTTCAAAGATTTGTGAGCAGAACTTTTAGCACAAAATATTTACAATAAAAGTACTCATATATGTATATATAAATATTTATTATTATTTATTCTTTGAAATATATAAATACTTTGTACATATATATTTTATATATAAGCTTTATTCAAAAACATTATTAAAACCAAATATCTTATATAATATTTATGATAAATATTTATGATAAATGTAAATAAATATTTTTAGTAAATATTTTTACTTGGATTGTAATGTATCTTATATTAAGTATTTTTATTCTATTTATTACAATATTATATATGATAAAATATTTCATAATATTTGTAATAAATATGTATGATTAATACAATCTATATTATATAAAAGACTACAAAAAATATATATATATTATATATTTACAAAATATTCAAAATAAATCTTGAAATTTGCGTTAAAATTCGGATTGTTACACAAGACACAAAACATTACATTTATTACGTTGAATTTTAATTACACTGAAGATAGTTCGAAGATAAGTTGAAACGTTCCATTTGAAGTTTGCAGTAGTGGTTGTAATAAGTAGTAGTAGTTTATTTGATATGCTTTCACAACTAAATGTATTACATATTGACTTCCTTACACTTCTAATTTCCATTGTATTTTATGTATTTACTTCTTTACCTGTCTACCCATTATCTATTTCTCTCGCTCTCGTTCCCGCTCTCACTCTCTCTCTCTCTCTCTTCCATTCTTTCCCTTCTTATCTTTTGTACCTTAGCCATCCATTCATACCCTCTTCCATCCTCATTCAACACATCTATTCTTTGATCGCACCCCCCCTCGTTATTCATACATCTTTTTACGTGTCTAAGTGTTTCCCTTTCTTTTCCGCAAATTCTACACTTTCTTTCTTCTTCTTTTAGCCAATACATATTTCCTTTCAACTCATTTCCACATCTCCACCTTGCCACCATTTGTATTTTCTTTCCGTCTGTTCTTCTATTCTTGCTCATATATCCTGGAATTCCTGCCACCCGCGCATACGCTTCACACGATTTGGAACTCCTCACTTTTTCTCCTCTTTCCTGTTCGTCTACTTCTTTATCAATATTCTTTATTTTCTCCCATTTACTTTCTCCTTCCTCTTTTATAGCCTCCTCGCTTCTTCCACATCTCCACAAATATCTCTTTCTTTCCATACTTTCCCTAGCCCATTCTCTTTCTGGTCTCTCTCTTTTTCATCCTTCCTCTTTTCTTCTATACAAATTTTTGCTATATCCCCCATTTCTCCCTTGCTCATTCTCTCCTCATATTGTCCTGCTCTCCTGCCCATTTCCACTCTAATTTTTTCTCTTTTCATTTCTTCTCTCACAATGTAACCTGCCGTGTTTCTATCTAAGCCTAATATCCATCTACCGTATTTCTCTTGCAATTGTTCTATTTTCTCCCTTTCTTTGTATCCCCATACTTCTACTCCGTACATCATTATTCCTTTAACAATACTATCAAACAATTTCCATCTCCATCTTATATCACCTTTAAATTTTCTCTCCCCGAAACTCCACGCCCACCCCATTGCCATTCTTGCTCTCCTTACTCTTTCTTTTATATGTTCTTCGTCATCATTATTACTTTTCATAATATACCCCAGATAATTAATACTTTTTACCTCTTCTATTTTGTCATTCCCCCACCACCAGTTTCTTTTACTCCACTTTCC